AAGTAACGGTGCAGAGCTTTAATAACTCAGTATCGGCGGGTGTCGTTGATCTGCCCACGAGTCACGCCTCGTCGTTATCATACAGATGTGAGTGTCTTGGCATCTTTAGTCGAAGGTATAGCTACAAGCACTCAACCACCGGGCAACATCGCGTTAGAGTTGAGAAACCACAGGGAAGAGCAATCTCGACCCAGTCTTCCGAGACAAGATGGGACTCAACTTCAAATTCAGAGTCTGAATATGAAAATCAGAATCTTCCGCAAAGAGTGGGAATCCCAAAAGGACCAACCGGTATTTGCGAAAGAGGAAGAGGGCAGCAACAAATGGTAAGGAACCGCCGTCTTATGCGAAGGTTGCCAGAAAGCGCTATCCAAACTAGCTCTGCTATGCAGTGATCGACGGAAATAGTGTGTGCGGTAAGCCGAAAAAGGAGACCCATAAGGAGATGATGAATGCGGTCAGTAACAAGATCGTGGAGCACCTACTTCATGGAGAGACTCCATTGATCTGGATATCTGCGTTTTCAAATGCTAATGCTAGAATTTGAATCATCAGAGAGCATAGAATCCATGAGGAAACTAGTGGCAAGTATTGGACCGATAGATGGAACAACTAAACTTAAGCTGGTGAGGAAAAGAGATATTTCTCAATTACAAAAGGCTAGAGTCTTGGGGCAGCGATTTCACCACGGAGCACATGCTCGAGGTCTTCGCAAAACAAGAGACTGCTGGCGAAGGAGTGGGAAGTCTTCCACAGAGAGGGGAACGAGGAAGGAACCCTCCTTGTGTTAGGCTTGAACAGGCCTTCAATATCATGTTTGACTGAGGCCAATGGCAAGTCCCAATTGTCAATGACATAGACAGAAACGTCAAAATTTGTACGCAAATAATTGTAAAGTCTTTCGATGAGAGATGTCCTCTTCGAGAAAGAAAATCTGAATTTGAAAAAACCCTGGATGACAGATAAGATTCGGAATAAAAGAAAAATAGGTGGGACAACTTATACGATAAACGGAAAGAGTACAATAAAATTACTAGACCCGCCAAACGCAACTCCTGAAAGATGTTCTGTGAACAGGTAGACAGTAATAACTGATATTGGAAATTGGGAACGCTAATTGTGTATTGGATTGAGTGATGATTTGGTTTTTAAATTCATACTACGTATACGTTTTTGATTAAAAATTAAGCGAATTGGTTTGTTTTATTTAATGTCCAAATAATACACCATTAACAAGTAATTTTAATTCATCATTTATTTATTTTCAACACTGAAATATTTTGTTTAATTCAATTGATTTATTTCTTGTTTTTGTTTTTCTGAGTGTAATACACAATAAAATTCCGCAAATAGTACATATAAGAACGAAGTCTCCATTTGGTTTTTCTGTTTTGTATACTATTTATGTATGGACTTATATAATGTATATATATAATTCAATCGTAGTATATACTAGTACTAATATATAATATATTAATAAAATGTAAATATGTATTAATGAATAATATATACCGTTATTATCGAAAAAATCTGTAAGAACCGTTTTATTTTATTTTTTTATATATCAGAATGCTATGCGTTATAATAAAATTGCTAAAAAATAAGTCTAAATGTAAATAGTCCTATTTATTTAATACAAAAAAAAAGAAAACACAATTGAGGAAAAACAATGAAATTGTTTTTTTAAGGATATCATGTTATTAAACAAAGCGTTGAGTTAGTTTCCGATTCGAAACTGCAATGTAATCGTTGAGTGATCTTGTTTTGCGATGTAAACGCTTTATGTTTTGTTAATTGTTCAGTTTTTTAGTCAGTTTCATTGTTTATTTATTTTTCTCTTTTTTTATAAATTTTTAACTTGTTATTATTGTCATTTTAATTAGTTAACATATATGTATATGTGTTTATGTATGTTATTCAACATTTGTGTCTTTTCCTTTTAACGATTTTTTTTTGTAATATTTTTTTTTTTATTTTGAATAATTCCCTTTTATAGCATACACACCGAGACTAAAGGCGTTCCTTAGGGTTGAATCCTACTAAAGGAAGTGAAAAGAATGTGGAAAGAAAAATCCATTTAAATAAAAAATATATATCGCAACCGAACTCTTATAAAAAAATATTTAATTTATTAAGTCGGCAATAAAAAATTCGATTCCAACTAATTAAAGTCCAGTTTTGAATTTAGACGTCCAAAATAGGTCTCATTCTCTGATGCGATCATCAGTCCCGCTTTAGAATATCCGCAACATAGACTAAATATAGTAGCGTGGCTGAAATATGACTAGGATGGTTGAGTCGTCAGAGCTATTATTGGATTTGACTTGATGTTAAAGTGGAGAATTGATTCGAAATGCTCACATCTTCGAGGAACACAAATTGACCTATACGCAGCTCTTCCAATTTGAAAGACCCCCTCTACGCGAACCATTAGTTGCTTTTTTGTGCTTTTTGGGCTGGGTCATCCTCATGCATTTTCACAACATGACTTGCTTCTATATGCTTTTTGACTATGTCGATGGCTCATGCATTATCACAACATGATCTAGCAAACTCGATACGTCTGATATTCACCGATGGACGCAGAATAGATGCCAGAATTTTTCTATCAAACACTCCAAGAGCTGCCTCATCTGGTTGCGCAAGTACCGATGCTTCTGATCCACACACCGTGCTCTTGTATGGATCAGAATGTGTTTCAAAATTCTTTACATAGTAACATCTGTTGCCCAACACTATTCTTCTACGAATTTTGAAACTGATGACATTAATTTTATTTATAAAATCTACCTCGAAGCTGTAGTTTTCAAGTTCCACAGTTGCTCCGAGTCTATTGGACGTCTTGCGCTTTGATACCATCAGTTTGGCCATTTACTGTCAGACCCACTTTGGCTGACTGCTTCTCAATTCGTTCGAAGGTGGCTGTTACCGTTTGCAATGTTCGACCCATTATGTCGATGTCATCGGCGTATGCGAGTAGCATGTGTTATTTGGTGTGCCGGGTGCCATTTCTGTCGCACGACAAACTTGTCCGAATCTTATTTAACAGCTGACCTTGTGCCAGTTAATGTTATCCTGCATAGCCCTATTATTTTTGCAGGAATGACGAACGCAGACACCTCTGGATTAGGCACAGAGTAAAAATCTGATCTATTAGAGGTCCTTTCCAACTTTAACTGCTGACCTTGTGCCAGTAAAAGTTATCCTGCATAGCCCTATTATTTTTGCTGGAATGACGAACTCGGACATGGCTTTAAAGTGGAAATCTGGTCAATGGTGGATGTGTTTTGCCAGGTCTTTTACATGCATTTAGCGCAGAGTGGAAATCTGGTCAATGGTGGATTTGCCAGGCCTGCACCGCATTGGTGTGGATAGCAATTTATAATCGTTGGGATCAAGGTTCTTAAAAAAAATAAATATCATCCTTAATCCTGATCGCTCTTCTCGGAGTCTCTTTTGAAAAGCTGTTATTCCCCTTTAGGCTATATTAAATTTTGAAGTAATATTTTTCACAACGCAAACTACGTAAACTACAAACAATAAAATCACATAAATAATTTGGGTTTTTTTCTAATAAATTTATTTCTTTTATTTGTTTCCTGACAAAAATAAAAACTTAATTTACTTTTAAAAGAGAAATAAAAAACACAAATTTTCTCAAAAGAATTGCTATTATTAAATAATAAAATATGTTTAAACAAAAAAATAATTAACACAAATTTAAATAACATACAGCTGTACGATTAAAAGTATAATAATACATAATAATTAAAATTATAATTTGTATAATATTAAAAACTGGAAAATTATAAATATTTAAAACTTAGTTGATTTCATGTTTCTTTTTTATACATGCAAATAAATGTAGTTGTGGATGTTAAAGTTTTTTTTCCTTTTCTAAAAGTGAGAGGGCGGGGCCTGTTTTTACAAAAAACTAATACGGTAATGCTTAAATTATTTTAAAAATCAATTTTAAAATAACCAAGATTTTACAAACGTAAATGTGTATGGCGACTGGGGTGGGATGGCTAAGTTTTGGGCAAAGTTTAATATTTATAAATTAAAATAAGACTTATATAAATGACAAATAAACAATCTTTTTTACAAAACAAAATGGGAACTTTCTCAAAAGTATTTTTTTGTTCAACTTAAAAAAATAAGAGATGCATAATTTTCAATTTTAATTATTTTTTTCGTTTTATAATGTCTCTAACTAACCACGTGGCATGATAAAATTGTAAATTTAAAAAATTTTATATAACAAAAAAAATAATATAATATTCGAGCATTTCGTTAATTCTTGGCCACATTCAATTCAAAATGTATAATGTGTCCATGGACATACACATAACTCTTAAGCAATTCCATCACTGTCCTGTCAGCGTTCTAAATAATTGTCTGTCTGTTTGTCTTTAGAATAAAAAATATTTGTTTTTTTACATTGATTTCATAAAAAGTACGAAAATGCTAAACAGTTGAAAACTTTAAAAACAAAACTACCATAAACACACATTCGAGAACAGACAAGGCTTTCCTTTTCACACATTTACAATTGAGGCAATCGGTTTTCATAAAATTACATAAATATTGTAGTATATCTTGTTTAACTCTATTATTATTAATATTTAGTTAACATACATATATATTTGAATTTGTTAGTTCGCTTGGTTTTAAATTAACAAGTATGCTAGAGATAAGTATTTAGGTTTGATTGTGTGAATAAATATCTATGCCTTTATTTAGTTATTCGATTTTTTTTTAATATCATAACCTTTCCATTCTGAGATTCTTGACTTTGTATGCCAGTGAAAATGGTAGTAGGATTCATTCCATTACTTATATTTTGTATGCGTGTGTGTGTATGCTTTACAGTATTTAATAAAATTTCCGTTCTTTTTCAATAAGTTAATCGACATTTTTCTAAATAATGACATTATATGGCATGTAGTTGTTGTTGTTTTTTTTTATTATTGTGGACTTTGATGAGCAGGAGTTGAATTATTTATATGGGTACATAGTTTCCTTTGGGTTTGTAAAACAATTGACCACGCATCAGTCGTCGACGTATTTCGGCAAGCAATAAACGTTTCTCCTTTTGGATTTTCTTCAATACGCCTTTGTTCTCTTGTGCTCTGCGCGAGAGATATGGCAAGACTTCTTGTACGGGGCCGTATGGTATATACTTGTAGGCCGAGTAACCAGCTTGACCTGTAAAAAATGAAATTGAAAATTAATTATAAAGAAAGTCCTATAAAGCAATTATTTATATAAATACGACCTAGCAGCCCACTGAAGGCCTGTTCAATCTAAGTTATTTTATTTAAAAATCATTATAGAAGATCTTATGGTATATATATATATATACAATTTTTTACGTGGATCTCATATTTAGAAACAAATCCAAATTATATTCTATCTCTCGATGACCTCAAGAATTTCTCTACAGAATACCAAAACTATATTCCGCTTTCAATAAGATATGTAAATTCTATTTTTAGACGATCTCAAGTTTTCTCCTCATGTCTTTCCAAAATGAAAACTGCAAGAGGTGAGTTAAAAATCTGCAACGTGTTGCGTGGTTCTAGTTCACATGATTGGCAACTGCTAGGTATGAATCATTCCGATCTTAGTTGCTCTAAGACCTCTTGTTTTTGTCTTGATAGCCGATTATGAGGTTTCGCCGGTTTTTAGGGACAAACTTTTGTCAGGTATGAATGTTATTAAAATCCGTATCACTTGCATACCTTATAGCTTACAACGAGGCCCCTTCATCATCGCCCCAAAATCTGTCGGACTGGGAGTTCAGATATTGGTCCTTTAAACAAGAATTAATTGGTGGTCTTCTTAATGAGTTTCGTCCACTATTTTATTAATTTACTTAGCTGACTCTAGACAAAACATATGTTCCAAAAGTTCCAGGCGAGCCGATCAAAAAAATTTGAAAGATCATGTTTCGATAGGTTACCTTCCACATGATCTTTCCATTGAATTCATGGTCTTCCCCTTCTGCGTGAACCATCAGTTGGCCGGCTTTTATACGCGTTTTGAGTTGAGGCATCCTCATCCATTCTCACAATACGACCTACCCATCGTAGTCGCTGCAGCTCGATACGTCTGACTATGTAGATTTCCAAGAATAGTTGGTACAACTCATGGTTCATTCGAAGATTCATTCCAATAGCTGCTGCATCTGGTTGCGCAAGTCCCCATGCTTCAGAACCATACACCAACACGAGTAGTATCAGCGTCTTGCAGAGAGTGAGTTTTGACTGGCGAGAGGTGGCCTTGTTCCTAAATTGCCTACTCAGATCATAGTAGCATCTGTTGGCCAACACTATCCATCTCCGAATTTCAAAACCGATGACATTGGTTTTATTTATGTTGGTACAACTCATGGTTTATTCGACGGCGATATTCACCGCCAACGCAGATCGGCCCACAGATCTTTTGGAGAATTTTTCTCTCAAACAATCCAAGAGCTGCCTCATCTGCTTGCATAAGTATCTATGCTTAAGTTCCATACAACAGCATGGGTAGTATCAGGTCTTGTAGAGTGTGAATTGGGTCTGGCGATACGAGGCCTTTTTTCTAAATCGCTTACCCAGACCATAGTAGCATCTATTGACCAAAACTATCCTTCTCCGAATTTCAAAACTGATGGCGTTTCCTCGAAACTGTAGTTCTCAATTTCCACAGTTGGTCCGAGTCTACTGGACGTCTTGTGCGTTGATACCACAAGCTTGGCCTTCTCGACATTTACTGCCAGACCCACATTGGAAGACTCCTTCTCAATTTGTGGTGGCTGTTACCGCTCGTATGTTCGACTCATTATGTCGCTGTCAAGATTCACTCCAGTAAATGAGCGAATTCCATAGTAGCAACAGATGCTACTATGATCTAAGTAAACTGATACTACAACAGCACGGTGGTATGGATCTGATGCTTTTGGAGTGTTTGAGTGAAAAATTCTCCGAAAGATCTATGACCCGATCTGCGTCTGAATATCGCCGTCGAATGAACCAAGAGTTCTACCATCTACTCCCCGACATCAACATAGTCAGACGAATCAAGCTGCAGCGACTGCGGAGACTTGGTCATGTTGTGAGAATAGATGAGGATGTCCCAGTTCAAAAGGCATATAAAAGCGAGCCAACTGATGGTTCACGTAGAAGGGGAATTCGATGGAAATATCAAATGGAAGACAACATCTCGGAACATGGTCTTTCAAATTGAAAGAGCTGCGCACAAAACCGACACGCCTGGAATGTTTTTTTTTTTTTTTAAGATCGGCTTATCGAACAAATATTCTGTCACAAGCCAGCTAAGTAAGTACCAGACCTATTTTTATTGTCGCTTTGGGTTTATGTAGGAAGTACATGAATATGTTTCATGTAACGACTTCTAGAAGCATTGCATTTGAATAGAAAGAGCATAAGCTATTTTGTATAACTTTTCATGACATGGAATTCCGATTGCAGCCTTTTTCCTTTCTTTTTAATTATACGAATATCTATAAATATTTTTTGTTTCACTTACCTAATGGGAAAGTAATATAATCGCACATGCCCAACAATTGACCGAAACAAATAACCTTATCTTCGGGTGAAATACCAATTTCCTTCATTTTCTCAATGGCATAACGAACAGTATCCTCGTTATGGGATGCCACCATAATACCGATTTTCTTGGCATCTTCGCCATTATCTTTGAGTATCTAAAATAAAATCAAAGGAGGAGATAATTTATGAACATAGACACTTTAAAGTAGACGGGTAACTATCACATACTTTAATTCGTCTCAAACATTCAGTTAATGTTTTATGATACATTTCGGTAGTAGCCTCATAACTGGGATTCACTGGATCAGGATAGCCTAATGCTTGGGCTCGGGCACGTTCTTGTTCCATATAAGCGCCACGCACTAACTTAGCACCAAAATAGAAATCTTGGCGTTTAGCTTGTTCCAAATCGGTATTGACCTGTTGCAGAGAGAAAAAGTTTGGGTGTATTTATTTAGCATGAGTGCTTTAAATTCTGGTGTGGTTCTACTTACCTCACGGAATGCCTCACGCAAATAACACTGGTATGTATTGAATACAATTGCCTTGTCTTTGTTATATTTACGCATCATTTCAAGAGTAATACGGGAAATAGCCGGTTGGAAGTAGGTTTGTTCGGCATCAATCATAATGCGCACATCCAATTCAGCTGCAGTCTGGAAATTTAGAAAAAAACACACACACACAATATTAAATCGAAATCCATGTTTAATTTGTTAACATGAAATCGTACCTTAACAATAGTATTTAAACGACGAATCATATTTCTAAACATTTCTTCCTCTTTGGGCGGAATTTGTGAGATCAAACGACGCATTTGACCAGTTTTTGGATCGGGTACTCTGAAGGTATCACTCAGCTGTGAGTCTTCATCTACAATACCGGACCAGGGGAACAAATGCAAAATACTGCAAATAAACAAATTGAATTTGGTCAGATATATTTTACAAGAACAATCCAGCAGTGTTCCACTTACCCTTCTTTATCGGAGGTAACATTTTTCAAGAAATCTTGAACATTTTTATTGTCCCCCAAACTGGCATAATATTTTTCCAAATCTTTAATAGTTTTGTGATGGGTTAAGACATTGCCTTGACCACCCACCATATCCTCCATGTATTTACGTGTGCGCATAATGACCTCGGACAATTGCAGCTAAAATAAGGCAAGAAGAACAACAACAACAATAACATTAATGAAATGAAAGTGTTTAATAGCCAGGCTAAATGGGCAAACATAAACTATCATGGGATTGCGTGCCGGCTGGACGACTGGCTCATGTTTATTACTTACCAAGAGTTGAGGACGACCCAGGGCGGTTAATTTGATGGCTGTAATACCGGTGCCAAAGGTAGCGCCTAAAAATAACAGACATCATAAAAATAATAAGAATATAATTAGAAATGATGATCATAAAGTGGGCCGAACACATTGAGGCATATCGTTGGCCTCAGTGTGTTCGGCACTTAGCAAAATTAAAAACAAAAAGAGAAGGGATTATTTAAAAACCCCCCAATGATAAATATATATGTATATATTCTAAGTATATATTAAAATATGTATGTTTGGGCATTACTGTACAACAGCAGGTCGTTTATCATACAATAGAGGCTCGTTCTTGTATACATAATACGTATATACAATAATTATATAGAAAACAATTTTATATAGGTCAAGGTCCAAATATACGAACACGCCTATCGAATTTTCACTCTCTTGACATGTTCACATGTATACAGATCAACACAAGTTTGTTGTTTTGTCCATTTCTTTGTTTATTTTCTATAGCGGTTCGTGTGTGCGTAAGTGGGTGGGCGGTATTTATGAATAAATGGACTCAAAAATAGAATAGCTGCCAAGATGAAATATTTATCAGTAAAATGAAAAATATAAAATATGTTTATTTTTTTAATATTTAGGCATAGATGACAGCTTATAGGAGTGGAAAGTAATTAATGTAAATGCCTTAAAGCGATCGTCTCCGTAAATATAATTGATGTAGAATAGGTCTTAAAAAAGGAAAAAAAATATTTATACGAAGACATGTACTTGTTGTCGTTGTACTAAATTTCATATTTATTAGGTAGAAGTAGCCTCTTCGAATAATGTTATATATATCGAATAATGTTATATATATGACATCGAATTATCGAATAATGTTATATAGACATCGGATTTTGCATATTTTTAATAATTAAGATATCAAAATTCTGATAAGATAAGAGAGAGATCCCAGTCTATTCTAAGTCGATTCGGAAGGTCCACGCAGTGGACTGTTTTGGATTCTGGCTATCATATTGACTATATACAAAATATGTAAATTTATTAGTTTAGTTTATATACTTCTCACTTAGCTTCAGATCGATTTTAAAATATTGCACCCAAACTCCAAAGCATTCACCAATGAAAAATAATATGTGGAAAACTAATATCGAAAACCGAGCAATTAAATAGACAGAACTGGGGGCGAAGGTATGTCTGGACATAAAAAGAAACTATATACAATTCTACATTGCAAAATTGCTCTTTCATTGATGATCATACCTTTCGCACACCACACTAAAGGAAACACAGCTGTGTGGTTAGCTGTGAACAAAACCTTTGTACATTGTTTTTACAATATTTATCTTTTAAATATATATTTTCAGATTAAAGCAACATTTGAAAATAAAATTTTACAAATAAAATTTTTGAGGCAAACATGGCTCATAGCGTAACCAAAATTATGGTTGCAGAGACAATATTACACAATAGAATCCAACCATATATATTTTACTCTTCGAATATTGTTGGCTCAACCACATTTTTTTATCTGCGTGTGAAGAAAATTTACCGCTTCTTTGGGTCTTTCAGCTTGACAATAAACTTCGAACATGCACAAAAACATGTCAAAGATTGATTGCGGGCCAACACAATCAGATCTTTACCCTAGAGAAAAATCTTTGGGTCATCAGGTACGCTGCCGCAATGAAAAATAATGGTTATTCTGGGGATGCGTTTGCTATTGCATTAATAAAAAAATCAAAAAGTTGATTTAGTTTTGACCAAGCAAAAATTGGTCCAATTTACTTTTCTTTCTTAATTTGGTACAATTTGGATTTGGGTGAACCGAACGGACTGGAATCCTAAAGTTGGGAAATATGATTTCTATGTGATGGATACATATGGTAATTTATATTAATGCATAATAAATGGCCTGACTTTGGTAACATCTTGTATTTAGGTGAACGTATATAGATCGAATCCTCAAATTTTGAATTATAAACTACAAGAGTACAAAGGGAAACAAATGGTACCAAATTTAGTATAGAGCTAGATTTATGTTGCGGCCAGAATTGCTGTGTAGTGTTGAGATATGGAGGTAGATTTGGAAATGCGTACTAAATTTGTACGATATTAACATGAAGGTTGATGGTCATTCTGGCAAAATGTAAACCAAAGTCGAAGAATTTTTTTAATTGATTTATTAAAATACGTGAAGTAACAGCAAAAAATCCCAAAAAGGAATATTTTTTCTTCTTGTTCTTAGCAACAGCTCTGCAAAATCAAAAAACGACAGGACACATTTTGAATGTGCGATAATAATGTTTGATATATCTTATTCACGTAAAGAATATCAAAAGTTCAACATATTCACACAATTCGCAGTGTTTTCATATTATTAGCAATGATGTCTAAAGTCATGTATATGTTTTACCACTTATCGTACTCATAAAATACCACAAAAAAGTAAAAATATTAAATTGTAAAATTAAAAAAAAAATAATTGTATTTGATTTATTTATCATTTACAGCCTATTTTTATAAAATTCTACACGACCGAGTTTGAGTGACTTACGACCAAACCTTTATTTATGTTTATAAATGTTTTCTGATTCAAAACAAAAATAAATGACGTATTTTTCAAAACCAAGGAGTTTGATCGTAAATCACTCGAATTTGTTTGTTTGGAATTTTACAAAAACAGGCTGTTAAAGTTTAATTTTGCCTCCGAAAGTCGTGTAAGTGACCTCAGAAGTGCCTATATGTAGTTTTTCGTGAAAACAATATAATATTATAAGGCATGTTTAAATATTTCCCACAATCGCTAACGAAGTAGCGGGAATATGCTAGTTAAATAATAAATACAAATCATTTATTGTCAAAAACACAATTAGTCCCCTTTTTCATGTTACAATCAAATATCCTACGACATAATACCCTCACCCCATTGTGGTATAGGTAAGAAAGAATGGCCCTTGAATCAATCCGTAACCTGCATTCTAATAAATCATTTGGATGTGCGAAATTGCATCCAATAAAAAATCGAGTTCTAAATTTTAAGCTATATTTTTTAAATTATACTTAAAACATATCAAGGAAGATATAATGAACATGCCGAATATTAAAATAAAAAAAATGTGACGTTCGAGATTCCACCAATAAATAACTAGTCTACATTCTTTACACAAGATTTCTCCATTAACACCATAAAACTATTGCCTACTTTAAGGCGTTATCATTTACAAGTCAGTTACATTAATTACTAATGACGATTAAACATTAAAAAATATGTATCAACATTTATGACATAATGTACCAAATAATTTTATTTGATTTTATAAAAAAAATAATACAAATTTGAATTTATATCTAGTAAATTGCATTATTTTCAATATAATCGATCAATGTTGTTATTTAATAAAATGCAAAATTTCTACAAGGTACAACGGCAGTCAGTCAGAACACGATACAACGTTGTTATTATTATTATTGTGTCACACCATCAGTCAGCCAGTCAACCATGCATGATTGGTAATCTGTCATTTGAGGCGTTTATGGACGATACACTTATGCCGGTGAGTTTTGCCAAGTACATATTTGTTGGTTGTTTGTTATTGCTGGTGTCTACATATAATTTTTTAAACGAATTCCAAATGGATTTTTGGTATTATATTTTCGCATTATAGCAGAAGTCAAAGTAAAATGGCATGAAATTGTTGAAAAGATAATACAATTCAAGGTTCGTTGTTTAATATTTCATTTCATTTGACTGACGTGCTAATGAACTTTGAACACTTTTCATTTGCCAAATATCGAATAGCGTTTTACTTTTTTTCGGCGTTAGCGTAGGATGTGTGAACAGATATTTGAAAGAGATGTTAATTTCTTTTTTCTTTTGTCCAAATGAATAAAGGAAAATTCAGTTAAATCAATTTCTGTCAAACGGCGAGCCAAATATGTCACACATGCAAATACAATTTCAAATATTGCCGCATATACATATGTTGGTGGGTTAAACTCAGCTAATGACCTTCGGTTTGGATGAAAATATAAACAAAACCCGGCAAGGATGAATTGGTAAAATCTTCATTTCATTTGCATCAGTAACATGGAACAGTTTGAAACATTTCGAAATATATAAAATATTGAATGGTACAAGGCAAATAGCAGTATATTGAATTAAGAAACTATTTTTCTTGTTACCTCCTTGAGGTCTGGGATTTCCACAAACCTTTTCAGAGTAAGGACTTTACTTATACACATGGGTTGTTTTATTTTCATTTCATGTCTATAAGCACTTTTAAAAAAAACGTTGAATATAATAAAATCCCCAAATCACGTTATGTATATTGGTGTATAGTTCCATAATATAAGTTCAACAGTGCCAGTGTTCTATTGGTATTAAAACGAAGGCACAGGACACTATACTTAAAATTAAACATGAGTTAAAGTGTGAAATTTCTCTCATATAAGTGTTACAAAAAAAAAATACATATTTATAATTGGAAAACTCAGAGTAACATCGATTTTGTAATTGATATTTAATAAAGTATTAAATTATACAAATCATCAAATATTAAATTAAAAAATCTCCCTTAAATTCGAAAGTATCGATCTACAAAGCTGTTTTCTGCTTTCACGTTGTACAGAATAGGCGCAGATTTCGCTTTGGCGGATGTACTCAAGAAGTACAAAGCCGATATTATAACCTTACAGGAAATGTGATGGAAAGGGATAGACGTATGTAAATCGGATGATTACGAACTGTATTATATCTGCCATGAAACGAGACATGAACTTGGCTGGGGAATTATGGTTAACAGAAGAATAAAAGACATTGTCTTTAGGTTCACTCCAGTAGATAAGCAAATTCCTATAATAAACCGTATAAAAGCGAAGTTTTTCTACATCAGTTTTATTTGCGCCCATGCTCCGACAGAGCAGCATATGACCACGCCCTGGCCATGACATTAAAATTCTGTTAGGAGATTTTAATGCAAAAATCGAAAAGGAAAATATTTTTGGGGCCACCGTCGGAAAATTATGCCTCCATGAAGAAACATCCGACAACGGCATAAGGTTAATTGACTTAGCA